CCTCTTGTCCTGTCACTAGTTGCCTGGGAGAAGAGCCTGACCCCCACCTGACTAAAACCTCCATTCAGGTAGTTGTAGAGAGTGAAAAGATCCCCTGAATCTCCTCTTCTCCAGGCTAAACAACACCAGATCTCTCAGCCTCTTCTCATTAAGACTTTCCTACTCGCTTCACCAGCCTCGTTGCTCCCTTCTGAACCCGCTCCTAAAAAGATCACGACTCCTGTAAGACCAGACTCCACTAGCACCATTCTTAATTATATTATCTGTGCAATTATTTCAGGAAGTAGTATCCAAGAAATAAAGACTTTGGGGTTATGATGGCTCTTGAATTTTAAGCTAAGCCATCAAATGCAGGCACCTTTGTAGTATCTGTTAATGATGGCTACGGAAACTAATGTTTTGTTTCAATTTCAATTTTTATTAGTGAGTGATTAGTGGGGTACAGACTTGGCGTGCTGCTGAGATGACTGTGGCAGGAAACAGTTTTCAGTTTCACTTTTTTTGGGCTTTTACTAGGTATGAGAAACTGCATTGCTCTCTACTCAGCTCAGTAGCGTGCAATTTCTTTTCCAAACAGCTTGTTCAGGAATATAATGAAATCTTTGATTCCGTGACAATTAACATTACAGAAATTAAGGTTTTAGTCATTATTTTCATGCTATTCAAATGCTTTAGGAATACCCTATTAGTTATAATTTGCTGGGGTGGGGAGTGGTGGGGGCGGGGGGGGTCGGCAGGGCTTCCATTTTCTTTTGCTTTGTTTTGCTTTTGTCCTTCTATGCATCAAAGCCTGTAAGGCCTCCTTTACTGTTACCCCTTGCTGTTGACTTTGAACCACACCTGCGCTTGAAGACTGGTGGGAAGCCACTGATAAAGTGAATAGTCAATACTAAGTAGTTTTATTCTGCACTTCCTGATACTATTATTGCTAAAAATACCTTAGGCCTGAAAAATAGACTCAATAAACATAGTTTTTATCATTATGGCTTTGATCGTCATGCTCCAAAAAAAATCTGCAAAGCAATTGGCTCCACTTTATGCCAGATACAGAGACTAGAGCTGAGTAGGTCCCATCCTCATCATCTCATGCATCAAGAAAGCTGAATGCCATGGTGAATTAAAGCCCCATTTTCTTCTTCTGGCAGCTTAAAAGGAGTCCATTTGGTGTGTATTTATCAAGGATACAGAACAAAACAAGCATGCAGCAAGGATTTCACTCTTCTTCCACTGTTCATTGCACTGCGATGGCTATTGTTTGCCAGTCTGTAAGGAGGTAATTCACTTCCAGGACAGTTCAATCCAACAGGATTTTTGCCATTAGCTTCAATGAGACTTGGGTTCCTCAGCTCATTGAGGTTTTTTATATCTATTTATATCAGTTGATATCCCTTCTCCAGCCTGACTTCCTCCTTCATGGCTTCCGTAGAAACTTTCATAGATTCCAGTTTCACCAGTTCCTTTTCCTCTTTCTGAATAGGATGGAGTTTTTTCTTATTCTCAATGTGAACATAAAATGTAAAGGGATGCTCATTTCCATGGTGTTGTCTCAGATCTTTGACTGAGCAACAATTCAGTGGCTTGATAAAAAGAAAGCAACAGTTTAGGAAATAATGTTAATCATCTTCAAATTTTTCACTGTCACAGACAGCACAACAATGCACTGTTTTGCTTTTTTTAAGAATGTATTTATAGACAAAGTAAAAATTAACATACACAAGGAAAATTCAGTAAAGAAAATCAAACCCAGTTATGCAGTTCATATGCGTTGAAGGTTGCCCAAAGTTGTCAAACTTAAAGATCCACCTTGTGAATGGAATGTTGAAATTTTCAGTTAGTTCCATACATAATGAAGATGTTGAAGGACACGCATGGTGAGGATGATGACCATAGCAATATTTGTAGTTACTCATGCATGGGTAGACCTCAAACATTTGCATGTTTGCCTTTCAGCTGAGTGTTTGGAACAGACTCTTGGTTCCCAACCTTAATCTCAGCAAATAAAAAAACTGTGTACACGTGTACCTCTGCATTTGCAGATACCAGTATCTTCCTGTGTACACACTAAACATTTAGAATGCTTCTCTTCTACATAAGCAGCAGGACTTTCATTTGCAAAGAATTTTCATCTGTAATATAAGTGAAAAAAATGTATAAAAACATTTCCTCTGTTTTTAAGTGGATCCTTTAATTAATTTGAAAGCTTCACTTAAGGAATAAAGTATTTTTAATAGATGGTTCTATTGTTGACAGTAAAAAAATCTCTTAGGAGCTGTGAATACAAAGGATGGAGATTAACTTTTGAAATAACATATTGCAGAATAGATATCACAGATCCTATGCTTTTCCTATGTAAATTCCTCCTTCTTTAAGTTTATTCAAGGAAGGTAACAGACTATGAAAAACTAAAGTAGAAAATGCTAAAAGCAACACATTGTGTAAATTTTATCCACTAGCTAAAGGAATAAATTAACTAGGTTAGTATTTTAACAAATAGTTTGTTCTGGAACATAGGAAGTAAGGTTGTAGGCAGGTAGTCAAATATAGTTGCAGGAATTGGGAGCAAATTACATTGCTTAGGTTTCAAGATCAGTTATAGCTAACCTACTCTTTCAAAATTTTTTGCAAATACAAGTCTAAGGTATATTGCATTACTCTAAAATTAATCCACTTCATCATTTAGGCCTCAAAATAAGTACTCTTTAGAAAATAAACTTATATATAATGCTAAAACACATGCAAGGCATTTTCTAACATTTTCTAACTGATATTTTTACACATATTTCATAGGATCCCAACAAATATTATTTTACTTTGAGTGAAGTCATATTTAGCGGTAACTTATTCAGAATTTCACAAAACACACTAGAAGAAAAATCAAACTTCTACATTCACTATATTCATTCACACAAATGCCATGGTTGGCTAGTCCAGAACTTGTTTTCTTCAGGCATCCAGTGTAATCAAAACCTCGGAACTGAATAATTTTTCAGGTAAAGCATCAATGTGTGAACGACTGAGTTTTCCTGCACTGGAATGTAAAAGGTCAAGTCAAGTGTGTATCAATACCGATTAACATGAGTTATAATTTTAAGACAGCTTTTGTAAGTTTAATCTTCATTATGGTGTTTTTGGTAAGACCACAATGTACTGAGAACCGACCTGGTGTCTACGCAATAACTCTGACAGTTCTGCAAAGTCTGGTGTCAAGCTACTGCTAAGCACAACTGAATGTAATCACAAAATAATCCAAATAACTTCTTAGGGAACACCATAAAACTAATTTACAATAACTCTTAACAAAAAAACCACAAACTCATTAGGTAAGATTACTCACTTACCACTGTTTAAGGCCAGAATTTCAGCTGAAGTGTGACTTCTAGTGAAGCTACACAGATGGCCATGGGCATCAGCTGGTGATCCAATGTGTGGTTTCCAGCACGTCACTGTGCCAGTGAAGAATGAAGCAAGTACCTGTCACGACCTGTCCCACTACACCTTTGGCAGCAGCTTAAGCTTTTGTGGAAAAGGGCTGACACACTCAGGGGTCCTGCCTCAAGCTCCACCTCGTTCCTCACACTCTGCTGCAGCAATGGCTTGGTCTCAAACCACAAGGCCACCCCTTCTGCCAGGAAAGACAATCAGCTGCTGAAAAAATCTGTGCCCATTAAATAAGCCTCTCATACCTCCTCCAAAGGAAAGGTGCAGGCCAGATGTCTCCTGTGGGACAGTCTGGTCTACACGGCTCCTGCCTGGATTATGTTGGTGGCTTTAACCCACAGCAGTTAGAACTTAGGCATGGGGACTGAACCAACCACCCAAAACCCCTCTAAGCAACATAGAAAGATTACATATTTAATTTATTCTACTTAGTTTTAACACTTGCTTTCCTGTTACGGAAAAAAAGAGGTACTTGAGGCTTGTGAGCAATTAAGTTGTCAAGGCTCTAGCACTGTTCTCTGGCAGGACACTTGGTGTCTGGCTCTGGACTGTGTAAAGCTCTTGGGACAGAAGCCGAATGTCAAAAAGAGAAGGAGCAAAAAGGTTTAGCTGAACAAAAGACACAGTGTTGTGGTTTTTTTTCTTACAGAATGTTCTGGCTATTCACACAAATGCCATTTTTTTCTTCTTCTTCTTTTTTTTTTTTTTTTTTTTTCTTTTGAACTGGGATGGCTGTAGAGCAAGATAGGGCAAGAACAGGGTAAGAACTCTGCAAGAATACAGGGTTACAAAAATGCAAGAGTGGAAAAGGGACCATCAACTACTTGACTGTGATCCACAGCAGGGCTCTGCTGAACACACAATGGCTACAGCACAGGAGGACAGCAGGCAGGTGAGACAACTCCTATTTCTGCTGGCCCCAACAAACGTATGACTCATAATATTAATTCCTTTCACATATTTGTATCTTACTTGCTTTGAAACAAATGTATCTCACCCCTGAGGTGAACACTTTTGTTGGTACAGATTTTCTTCATTGGCCCTCTCTGGAAATTGGCAGGCTAAGAGATGTTTTCATTATCACAGTTCATGAAACACTCAGAAATCAGATCTTTAGGGCAATCAATTGTAATTATGTAAAATCTTAGGCTTCATCCAGCTCTCCCACTTTGCTCATGCTACTGTAACTGCATGATTTCAGTGGAACAGATTCGGACTTATGAATAGAAACAAGATCAGAGTTGCCCCTAAAATTATGTTTCAGTGAACACAAGAAACTACACAAGAAAGATAATGTATTTGAGAACATTTTTAATAAATAATGTGACAAAAATTACTTTTCTGATTATTGGATCCTCAGTATGCAAAATTATGGCTAAAATATGAGGTTTCTTACATGAACATAATGAAAACATTAATCACATGGATTGTTCCTTTAGTACTGCACACCCTTTCTATGGAACCTTTCTTTAAAAATCAGCTAAATGAAAAATTTCAGTCCTCTGTAAACACCAAAACACTTTTTTCTTTTTTTTTTTTTTTTTTTTTTTTTTTTTTTTTTCCATTGGGGCTAGTCCTGATAGCTGTCCATAAACAAACACACATTCTTCCATTAGCACCAATGACAAAGAAATTTTATAATTACAAAAAAGGTCATAAAATCCACAGACAGAGGACATAATTTGGCAAATTCAATGCAACTAATGCCTCTATTTCAGCTTTACTGATAATCCAATGTTGAGAGAGGTCACAGCAAAATTGATAGTTTTCCCTAAGTCCAGGAATAGTGAGAAGTGTTTTGATTATGGCCCACATTTACGTTTGTTACTTTACCATCTGTCATCATTCAAATATTCCAAATACAAACATAGAGCATTAACAAAAAGATGAAAAACATCCCAAACAAATGCTTAACATTTTCAATAAGACAAAAAAAAGGTTAATAGTTACAATGGTTTACAAACAAAGTTTAGTGATTGTGCTTTTAAAACCAAAAAAAAAAAAAAAAAAAAGATAAGCAGTGCATTACAAAAAAATTAATCGCCAAGATCAAACAAAACTTCTTTAAGTGGCACTTCTTTAAGGTGAATTGACACAAGTAGAGGTCTGAGATTTGGGCCAGTAACAGTTAATGACAACACCCAATCATTATTAAAAATGTCCATTAATTTTTCTTCCTCATTTTCATAAGCATTGTTTAAGCTGAAAAGTAGAAAAAGTTTCAGATAAACTTGCCATGATTAGGCAAATAGCAATCATATTGGCTTACCTCCTGCCTATCCCAAAGGACATTTTTAATAAGAACGTGCTTAAAGATGAAAATGGAAAGACAAATCAAAGTACCACAGGGGATTTAAAATGAGTACATATTTACAATAAGAGCCACTCATGCCAAATTAATTTTACTTGCATTTGTGAAACTGTTTCATCTGCAAAAGGTTCATAAGAGACTGGCAGAAAAAAAGAGACCCAGTCTGTATTGAAATTGCAAGATATCATTTGCACTAACTGCAGACTACAGTGAAACCCCTAGAATAAAAGAATGTTCTGCATGATGTTCACTTTGGGGAACTTCTTAATCAATGCTGTATCCATCATTATCGACTGGCTCACTGGTGTACCAGCAGTGTACTAAGCACCGCCTCGCAGGGGAGAAGCCTTGGGATCCCAGGCTCTGGAATCCCTTCTGTTGTAATCCTGAAGCAGCAGCTGGCCCAAGTACCACAAAGAGCAGCTTACTTGCCTTCTTGGCCAGCGAAGGTGATGCACTTAGCATTAGGGAATAGACAAGGGCCATTCCTAATTAAGAGGGTTTACAAAGAAAAAGAAATGTTAGCATTCTGGTGGCATGAAGAAAAATGAAAAGTTGTACACTGACTGATTGCACTGAACATTATTTCTGGCGTCAAACATCATCAGACTTGAGGCATCTTAAGTGATTTTTTTTTTTTCTGATTAGATTTTAAAAGCCTGTTACAGTACATGTCGCTGTCTTCAGCTTTCTGTTTCCTGTATTAAAAAAAAACAACAGAAGACATAAATAACCGTGTTAGATCTTATTATCTAAAGTTTGTTTTACATACTTTTTAGTGATTTGTTACCTTTAAATAGTAATTACAACTTTTAATTATGTGCAGCAGTGTGACTGCATGTTGGACACCCTTTCTACAATCAGGATTTAAATTGAATTAATATCACTAGGCAGAAAAAACAAAGAAGATAAGTAGTTCATGCCTTATTATCTATTAAAATCTAAACCAATACACTTCCAAAAATGTGACAGGCAATGTCAAGGTGTTCTTAAATGCTCTAATGCTTTTTTTTCACTTCTGAAAGAATCTGGATAAAGTGCACAGTTAAGTAGTGTATTTCTGCAAGTTCTATTCCACAGGTTTTCGTGTGGTGGCAGTTATACTATGCTACACATTACTTATGTTTTTGACACATTCTTAAAGTTTCTGTTCCTGGCTTGCACATAACATCAATAGATGGATAAATGTACCAATTTTTCTGAAGAGAAACATTTCCGGTTCAAACGTTTTTTCTTGGCATTTGTCTAAGAACAGAAAATGGTGGGATTCCAGCCATCTTCAGTGGTACAACTGCAGTTACCTCCATCTCTTCTTCCTCTTCTCCTTGTTCATACGCTCCCAGTAGCTGCATTTCTGCAACATTCCTTCGGGCTATATTTGCTTGATCTGCCCTCTGTCTACCTCCTGATCCTCTTGACGACATAGAGCTGGAGGAGCTGGGATCTCTAGGATTATTTGATGTTGGAAATGTTGGTCTAGAATATGGCAGGATGTCCTCTGTATAATTAAATATATACATCGTTATGTTTACAAACCCAGAGATACAGTGATCCAAAAAATTTCTGCATGCAGTTGATTTATTTTACTTTTTATGATACTCAGTAGGTTTAAAGCAATGCCTGACAGGAATATGAAATACACTGCTTCCATAACAGCATTATAGAAGCATTCTTAAGAAAAGTTATAGAATTAATGTGGTAGCAATCACTGCAGAAAAATGAATTCATTATTACTGTCCAATTAATTTTAATTTATGGTCACTGCTCTATGTTCTACCAGAAAATGAAGAAAAAATAACCCTTGTATATTTTTGATGTGACTGAGTAGAAGGAAATGACAATATGCGCATGATACTTGCAAGGAGCTCACTGCATCTGTGTATCAGACCTTGTACTTCTCAAGTTGATTTTGAAACAAAATTAGTGGGCATGTTTTAAAATTCCAGCACCATCCTCTTCAGGTAAACTTGTAATAACTTTTCTGTATAGTAATGCACTGTAATCAGTTCCAATCTCTTATTAATATGCTCATTTAAGCACTTACTGCCCAATCACCGCTGATATTGACTCTAGCTACCTGTATGAAAAAGGACCAGGCATTTGTATGATATGTGTTGAAAGTTTTAATGAACACTTGACAAATTCCAATAATCATGTTCCATTAATCAGTAATCTTACCTACTTCCATAACAAGAGATTACATTGATCAAGTCAGATTAATATGTTATGTGTCAGTTAGTAATTACAACTAATGCAGTACTACTTTTGTTTTAAACAGGACCAAGTTTAGACAATGGACAAAAATGGACCAAGTGTAAATTGTTTCGTAGAAAAGTCAAATACCTGACTAACAGATCAACTCTCTAAAAGCCACTCAGTTCGTTTGTAAATTAGATTATGCTTAGATAGATTAGACATAACTAGACTATAAATGTATGGTAGGGGCAGAGGCAGTGATCCCTACAGCTCTTGAGGAATATTTCTATTTGGGCTTCCTCGGTGTTTGCTTTAACACGATGGGTGCATCAGGAAAACAGGATAAAACATCCATGTTTTTCAAAAGCTTTTGTTTCCATTTCACCCTAATGAGAACCTACAATGTGACCTGTATTAGCACCTACGATTACAATAAATGGTGACAATTCAGCAGGCACAACTTCACTCATACCATTGGTGTGAGACACCTGAAATGAGCCGCCTCTTCCCTGTGATCAACACACAACACTTCATTAAACCCAGAGCATGCAAAATAACCTTGAAGAAGATGAGTTTTTGCTGGTGTGCCTTCTCGTTTTGGTGCTTTATTTCCTCGCAGTTTCCCATCATTTTGCTGTTCCTGCGGCTCTCTCCGCTCTCCCGAGTTTGTCCGCACGTCTGAATGCTGTCGCCCATCCACCCCGTCCCTGCCCTTGTAGCTCGCTCCTTTCCTCTCTGCAGATCTGTCTGTCCTCACTTCTATAGAAGCAAGTTTGGGCAACATGACCGGCCGCACCTCCAGCTGGGATTTGGACTGGGCGGTTGGTGATTTTATAGCTGGAGGTGGCACAGGAGGGGGCGGCAAGTCTACAAAGTTAAAAGAGAATAATTACAGTGATATCATAAACTAATGAAATTAAGAAAGAATCTTTAACTTTCACTGAACAAAAAGATGCCCTCTTTACTTTCTCCCTCTGCCCTTCTTTCTCCACCCCAAGAAGTATTATGTTACTGTTACAACTGCTGATGGGTATTTTCTCAAAGCTTGAACTTTAAAAACGCAAAGACTTATTTTCTATTTTCTTTAAAATCTCTATAGAAAGCTGTAATAAAATGTAGGCACTTGGGTATTAATATACCAGTTATGGATATCAACAGACATAAAGATATTGACATATCTTTGTTGATATTTATAATTTTTGCCAAGTTCATTCAACAACACAGCAGCTTGTGCTACAGTTACTCCAGGTTTTCAGTGCTGAGTGTTAAGTCAAATTGGCTGGGGTGTAAGAATTTGTATCAGATACACTGCACAGATATGTTATGATAAACTTTATTAATTATTGAATTCTTCTTTCAAAATAATAGGTTAGCCTATCATATATATCCCCAGAACTGTGGGCATGACTTGAGATAAAAAAACCCCAACACACTCAATCAATGAAGTAACACACTCCCAGGAAGAAAAAAAAGAAAAAAAGATACGGAAGACTTCTGAACTCGTCTTCTTAAGTTAGCACAGTTTAAAGGATTTGACAATTCTGTATATTTTTAAATAGCATTTATAAGACACACGTGTCTTGGGGTTGGTGAGCCTGGAGATGAGAAGGCTCTGGGGAGACCTCACAGTGCTCTTGCATTTTCTGAAGGGGGCCTACAGGAAAGCTGGGGAGGGACTTTTTACAAGGGTTTCTCATGAGAGGACAAGGGGTAATGGATTAAAACTGGAAGAGGGAAGATTTGTGTTAGACATTAGGAAGAAATTCTTTAGTGTGAGGGTGATGAGACACTGGAACAGGTTGCCCAGGGAAGTTGCGGATGCCCCTTCCCTGGAGGTGTTCAAGGGCAGGTTGGATGGGGCTTTCAGCAACCTGGCCTACTGGGAGGTGTCCCTGCCCATGGCAGGGGGGTTGGAACTAGGTGATCTTTAAGGTCTCTTCCAACTCAAACCATTATGTGACACTATAATTCTATGATTGAGAATTAAACCTAGAATATGTAAACTATTCATCAGGATGAATAGTGCTCTGCAGAATATAAAATGTGAAGAAAAAGAATGTAAAAGTAAAAAATGACAATACAAAAGTGGTTCACAAGAAATCTGTAGGAATGAACCACATGAATATAAGAGAACATGTTAAAAAAAGTGAGATGTGAGAGATGTTTCTGAGGTTAATAATCTCGAGTGAGATTGCAAAAAAACCCAACAAAACAGCACTATTAAAAAAATGTAACTTCAGCATTTTATAATAGTGTGCATTCATTCTTTCTACTTCCACAAAAATCTTGGAGCAGCTGTGTTTTTCGAACACCATCACTCTATATACAGCTAATTCAGCCTACTCAAGAGAATATTTCAACTGAAAATTAACTAAATTTGGCCAAGAATAAAGGTAGTACTCCTGAATAAGAAAAAAATAAGCACCTAACAAATACGTATAAATTCAGATATGGCAGATGCCAGATATTTTTGACAGGTTTTCCAGTGAATCAAAGCACAAATGACATTCCTGTGGAAAGGTGTATCAACGGAGAATTCAGTGCAGGCTTACTAGGCACTATCCTCCACATTAAACTTGAGATTTTCATAAGGTTAATTTCCTAAGGGCGGGCATACTTGGGGTAAATGAGATCTCTGACTTCTTGCTCCACTAAAGCCACTGACTTGGTAAAAACAAAACCAAACCATACCAAACCAAACAAACCCAACCAAACAAAACAGCAACAACAAAAGAAAGACCTTAGCAATGAAACACATTAATTCCAAACATCACAGTAGCATTCAGACTGCCTACTCTAAAGATGCCCTGTGAGCTCCAGTCACCAAATCCCTTTCAGTCTGTGCCTACATGTTTGGACATTTGGAACACAGGGCTCCATAGCAACGTGAGCTTCAGAGTCAATACCTGCTTCAAAAAATACTGGTCTGAAGAAGCATATAACCCCTTAGAATTCAACCACTAGGTGAAAAATTGTGTGAAGTCTACCCAAGACCTCAGAATACCATATGATATGTTCCTTAAAAGTCCAATGCATCAGACCACATCAGACCCATCCCAAAGAATAATAGCTGTTTTTCAGAAGCAATGCTGGAGATGATGATGGTTCCCACCCTTTGCAGAATACTTTTAGTGATTATACAACGTGGCCAAGATTAAAAAGAAATAAGAAAAAAACCTCTTCATTAGCCTGAGAAGATTAAAATATTTTTCTTTCTCTGGATAACACCCTTCTCATTTGTCTCCTCTCAGAAAAGGACCCACCAAATTGAAAGTGGATGAAGATAAACTCAGAAGTGTAGACTTTTGGGACCACAGTTGTTCATGCAATTATCTTGTGTTTCATATTCCCCACTTGCTGCCCCTATTAAGTTGTCAGAGCACTGAACAGCCCTTCTGCTGAGCCTGCTGATGTAAAGTGGAAGTACTTAATCCCAAGCTTTTTCAGCCACCCTTGAAGCCAGTCTCCACCAATTGTGATATGGCAATGCATTTGCTGAATGCCAAAGAGACGGAACAGCATTTTTCCTGTAGCCTATAAAATACAACTTGAAACAAAATACTTTAATCAAGAATCCTATCCAGCTGCACAGGATGATGAACAAAGTAGTTTTAAGTTTTGACTATGGACAGGAAAGATGAATTGATAGAAAAAAGCTTCATTAAATGGCAGTAGCTCTACGATACACTAATACCTAAGGAAAAGTAATATTCTCTTTTGAAAACATTTTTGTAACCTGCAGGGAAACTATAAAAATCTTCATTATAACATAGTACTCCTCGCTGAGAGGAATCCTTTACAGAGTGGAAAAAAAACTTCTCAGAGGTCGACACTATTATACCCCTGTGGTATTTATTTTAACAGCTCAGATCACAGAGAAAATCCAGATTCAATCTGTCTCCTTGAGTACAAACTGGCACACTTCTGATTAAAAGGAAAATGGAAGCTTCCATTGTAAGGAATAAAAAATAAATCACATAGCAACATCAAACCAACATGAAGAACTCAGAAGTATTTGTTAAAGGTCAGCTATGCTCACATATTTCATTAATGTGTATGTATGACTGTTGTACTGCTTCCCATGTAACTAAAACAACTAATGGATGCCATTTCATAGCACAGACTACATTTAAAACTTTCCATGTATGTCTTTTGAAAGCAGCAATGACGATTTTCTCAATGAGAACATGTATAGGGATCCTGAGGTAAGGAAAACACCAGTGGGGAAAAACCATCTGCTAAATAAATTTGGCACTGAAGTGGAGAAACTGTGTCAAAAGTCTTGCTCGAGTCAAGGTAAGTAACATCCACTGCTCTCCCCTCATCTCACCAACCAGTTACAACATCACAGAAAGCAAACAGATTAGTCAAGCATCATTTCCCTTTAGTGAATCCATGCTGAATTCTCCCAGTGACTTTCTTTGCTTTCACATGTTTTGAGATAACATCCAGAACAATTTGTTCCAACAACCTTACTGGGAATCGAGGTGAGACTAACCAGCCAGTAGTTCCCTCGGTTCTCCTTCTTGCCCTTTTTGAAGAATGGAGTGATATTTGCCTTTCTCCAGTCCTTAGGCACCTCTCCTGTTCTTCATGACCTCTCAAAGATGATGGAGAGTGGCCTAGCAATAACATCTGCCAGCTCTTTCAGAACTCGTGGATGCACCCCATCAGGGCCCATGGATTTATGGATGTCCAGTTCAGCTAAGTGGCCTCTAACCTGGTCTTTCGCTACCAAGGGAAAGTCTTCCTCTCTCTAGTCTTTATCTCTTACCTCCAGGGTTTGCGATTCAAGAGGGTCAGCTTTAGCAGTGAAGACTGAAACAAAGAACGCATTCAATCACTCCACCTTCTGTGTCTTCTGCCACTAGGGTATCTGCCTCATTCATCAGTGGGCCATCCCATCAATGTCTTTGATATCCCTTACCAGATTTAATTCCAGGTGGGCCTTAGCTTTCCTCATTGCATCCCTCGTTCTCTGACTGTGTTCCTTTATTTCTCCCAAGTGGCCAGTTCTATTTTCCACATTCTGTAAATTTAATTATTTCCTTTAATTTTTTCCAGAAGACCTTTACTCATCCATTCAGGTCTCCTACCTCCTCTGCTTGATTTCTTCCTCATAGGGATGCACCAGTCCTGAGCTTGGAGGAAGCAGTGTTTGAAAGTTGCCCAGCTCTCATGGACATCCATACCCTGAACCATGGTATTCTACTGAGTAGATCTTTGAAAAGGGTAAGCTTAGCTCTTCTGAAGTCCAGGGTTGTAATTCTACATATTTCTTTACTTCTTCCAAGCACGACATTGAACTCCACCACTTGTGCTCACTACAGCCAATGTTGTCCCCAACCTTCACATCCCCAGCAACACCTTCTTTGTTTGTTAATACCACATTCTATAGCACAACCCCCCTTGTAGGCTCCTAAACCACCTGCATCAGAATGTTGTCACCAACGCTCTGCAGGAACCTCCTAGACAGTGCGTGCCTGGCTGTATTGCCTTTCCAGCAAATGTCAGGGTGGTCCCCCGTGAGAATGAGGCTAGTTTCAGCTGCTTGTGAAAGACCGCATCAACCTCCTCATCCTGATCAGGTAGCTTGTAGTAAACACCCACAACAGCATCACTCATGTTAGCCTGCCCCGTAACTCTCACCCATAAGCTCTTAACACGTTCCTCCTTCTCTCCTAGGCAGAGCATGATACATTCCAGGTGCTCTTTCACATAAAGAGCCACTCCACCACCCCATTTTGATGACCTATCTTGCCTAAAGAGTATGTAGCCATCTATGGCAGCACTCCAATCATCTGGGCTATCCCATAATGTCTCTGTAACTGCAATGAGGTCATGGCCCTGTGTCCACATCCAGATCT